CAAACTGTGGAGCTTAAGATCGACTCTTTCCGACATAGAACTAATTAACTATATCATGAATCAGAAGAAACTCTCCGACTGGAGAGATCATGGTTTTCAGTTTCTGTTTCTAGTTATGTTCTGACTTCAATTCTCCGCTTTCTCATTCCGCTAATCAAATCAGAATCACCCAGCCTCGCACATACGATGTTATGTTAATTTTGAAACCGTTGCCAAATAGGTGTACAAGTCGAGTTACCCCATCTACTCGAGCTACTCGGTGCCCCGCCGTGTCTACGGCTCAACCCGGGTGGTGACCTCGCCCATCCGCGTGGTGACCTCCCCCGCACGTGTGGTGTCCCGCGTTATACACTCCCCATCGCCTGTTCGCGTTGTCCGCACGACGACCCGAGTGATTTCATCGCCGGAGCGCACCACCTACTCCTACTCCACGCCATCGACCTACTACAGCCCCACCTACTTGCCATCGACCTACACTTCGTCCTACATCCCGACATCGTACACCACGTACACGCCGTCCTACGTCTACAACCCGACCACGATCACCCGGGTGTATGCGCCCCGTAGCTCGCTTTCTCCGCTGAGGATCACCTCCTCGCCGGTGAGGGTCATTACCAGCCCCGTTCGCGCAGTGCCCTCCTACCTGAAGAGGCTGCCTCCTGGATACGGTGCCCGGGCCCTGACCAATTACCTCAATACCGAGCCCTTCACCGTAAGTTGGTACACCGTTTCTTAGCACGTAGCTTGCACACTTAGCCACACAGAAAACTTGGAGTAGAGCTTCCGTCGATTTGCTTACTTTTGGGGACGCGCCTCTAACATTCCACACACATTGCAGACCTTCTCCGAGGAAACAAGCCGGATTCGCAACCGGGCGCAATCTCTGATTCGTGACTTGCATACTCCCGTGGTGCGCCGTGCACGTAGCTGCACTCCCTTCCCAGTCACCGGGTAAGTGGGGTTCTCTCATAAGAAAAATATGGAACCACTAGACCGACCTTAAACCTAATAGTGGCCCTTTGAAAACCAAAAATAACGTAAAAAGCTCTTGTATACATTCAAATACATATGTTTCTGTGCATTTATTAGGCCATCTTTGTGCAATGTTTTAGATTTTACGAGCCCTTGGCATAGAAGATAATTGCATTCGTTCCACTTGTCGTATGCGTTATATTTGTGTTCACATCACGCATACGACATGTGCGTTTGCACAAATGACAATTTATGAAATTTAATTAGCTAAAAATACCAATTGGGTAACTCTTTTTAAGATTTTTAATATATGATAATGATACTTTCACCTTATATGTAAATAATTCTAATTTTGGCAAACTAATTTATTAAATTTAATAATGAAACCCTTTGAATTTGTATTAATATTGCTCAATTTTTCATCATTCTCATTATATTGAATACTAAATTCCGAAAATATATTTTTCCAGTTACACCTATGAGCCGACTTCTCAACTAGCCCTAGACGCTTATGTGGCCCGTGTCACAAATCCTGTGCGTCATATTGCCAAGGAGGTTCACAATATTTCGCACTATCCCAGGCCAGCTGTAAAATATGTTGGTAAGTTGCATTTCGCAATGGTGCCAAGGTACTGCACTATGTTTACTGTTCACAACTGTGGTTAGATATCTTAATTGTATAGTAAATGGCTATTAAATTCCATTTTTTAAATAATTAAATAATAAAAGGTAAAAGTCATCTTGCATCAGTAAGGATTTGCGGTGACAAGGCCTATAATGTTAGAAGTCCATTGTACGATTCGGACAAAGTTCGAAATGATATTAACCTCTTGTCCTGGTACCTTAGACACCCGACTTGGAAGAATGATAAGAAATCCCATGATCCTGTAAAGGAAGGTAAGTACTGTTTATGTTGTTACATTACGCTTGAAGATGACACCTGTATATATCACTCAAGCATAAGTGTAATTGATGTTGCGCCAAACAATTACCATTCATTAAAAGTTGCATACTTAAGGACAAGGGTATTCGGTTTTTTTTTTTAAATTTGTTTTTGAAAATTCCAAAAGACATTCACAACTTTTATATGATATGATGGAATCAAACTAGAAGAAACACTTTTCATACAATCAAAAATCAAGCAAAGAATAATTTACATTCTTCATTACATGCCAGACAATTACTATTATTTCTTTTTAAAAACCATATAAGGCACCTATGGCTTGGATTAAAAATGGTATTATATCTATTAGTATTATTTAAATTGGCTTGAATCAATTCTCAATTTTTGCGTTCTCTACTTGTCCAAAATATTCCTTCCTTTAAATATTTATATTCTACAAAGTTAAGATAGCTTGAAATACGGTGCTATAGAATCTAAATTAGTTTATTCATTTGTAACTAACTTACATATTTGGTTGCTGCATCCTGAATTGTTCAGTTCATTGTATTTCACTAACGTTATACGTTTTATGATTGATTGATTCTTTCCAGTTGAAGCTGTTGAAGTTGAGGCCTAAATGATAACATGCCTGATTTTTGTATGGACATACACTTCTCTTTCTTAAATAAACCAATCTAAAAGACTTTCTTTTGCGTGGTAGACAATTAGCCGATATCTACAAGATGAACAATTGATATCGACACACTCTGGCGCTTTCACTACTCAGACTAATACTTACACAAGTCAGATCAGAACAGCTTAAAAGATCGAATAAAAGAAAAATAAATAAATTCAGCGCATCACTTGTGATACTAACATTTTTCATGTGACTCACCAAAATGTAGATACTTATTCATTCTCTTTCGATTTGTTTTAACTTAAGTAAATAGCTGACGATTAAATTATAGACTCTCATGATCACTGACTACGAATTAATAATTACTTCATGTGCATAGTTTTTGGCATTTAAGATATGGACGTCAGCGCGAATTTTGTTAACCAATGTTATGTTCATGCATATGTAATCACATTTTAGGGATATTTACTTACAAATATGTATCAATATATTAATTTGTAAATACGGAACCAAGCACAAATCTTTCTTTATGGGTTAGAAAGGTATTCTTCCTCCAGTGGGTGATTTTAAAAAATCCATTAAAAAAGTTAAAGTATAGCAGCGTTTACTCTGCTAACAATATAATACAAATCTTTTAAAGAAATTTAACACATGACAACATTTTTGTATATAAATTACGACTTATGGATTGATGCAGAAATATAAACTTAAAATTGAATGACACAATACACACGATCCAACAATTCGAATCTTCAGCTTACTTTATGTACTCTTTTGCATTTTGAGATGTATATATGTATGTATGCTTAACCCATTAACCACATTTTGGTTTAATTCTTCACACCCAGAACTTTTTTAAAATTCCCATTAATGCCACACAATACTCTAAACCATTGGCGTCTACTGTATCTGCAATTTTCCTTGCCTCGTCTATAAGCAACCCACCAATCGCCGATCCACATAGTAAGTATTAGTAGTACAAGATAATGTAAATGATATAACTGAGTGAACAACCAAAGAAAAGGATATTTTATGTGAAATAAAGAATAAAATAGAGAAGCATACGCACTGTGGAGAGGGTTCTTCTGACAAGCTCTAAATTTCAGATGCCGAGTTGGATCCTAACCGTCCATCTAGAAAATTTTCTGCCCCTAGGCCCCTGGAGGACGAAATCGATCTGGAATCGAAGGAGAAGCAGCGTCTTCGCCAGGAGCGCCTGCTAACGGTCAACGAGGAAGCTCTGGACGAAATCGATTTGGAGAAGAAGAAAGCCCAGAAAGCCGATGAGGCCAAGCGTAGGGAAGAGAAGTCGGTGGTCTTAGATCGTATTTTAATATTTTTACTAATAACTAAATAATCTTAAAGGGCCCTGAAGGAGGAGAGGGAACGCCTATCAGCTGAGGCTGAGAAACAAGCTGCTGCCAAGGCGAAGAAGGCTGCCGAAGAGGCCGCCAAAATCGCTGCCGAAGAGGCTCTTCTGGCCGAAGCTGCCGCCCAAAAGGCTGCAGAAGAATCTGCCGCTAAGGCTGCCGAAGAAGCTGCCCAGAAAGCCGCCGAAGAAGCTGCCGCCAAGGCTGCCGAAGAGGCTGCCCAGAAAGCCGCCGAAGAGGCTCGTCTAGCGGAAGAGGCTGCTGCCCAGAAGGCCGCCGAGGAGGCTGCCCAAAAGGCCGCCGAAGAAGCCGCTCTTCAGGCCGCCGAAGAGGCTCGTCTGGCCGAAGAAGCCGCCCAAAAGGCCGCTGAAGAGGCCGCCCTGAAGGCTGAGGAAGAAGCCGCCCAGAAGGCCGCCGAAGAGGCCCAAGCCGCTGAAGAAGCCCGTGCCGCCGAAGAAGCTCGTCTGGAGGAGGAGCAGCGTCTTCGGGAGCAGGAGCTGGAGCGCCTGGCGGAGATCGAGAAGGAGAGTGAGGGTGAACTCGCTCGCCAAGCCGCCGAGCTGGCCGAGATCGCCCGCCAGGAATCCGAGATCGCCGCCCAGGAGCTGCAGGCCATCCAGAAGAACGACACCGAAGCCGAGGCCGAGGTCAACGAGCCTCTGGTCGAGGAGCCCGTCACGCCCATCGAGGAACAGGAACCAGTCATCGAGCTAGGCTCCAATGTTACCCCCACTGGTGGCAACAACTACGAAGAAGATCTCGATGACGAAGAAGAGGAGGAGGACGAGGAGGAGGAATAGATTCTACACAATCATCATGCTGTCAACCTAATTTAAAAGAAACAATAAAATAATATTAAAACCTAAAAACAGGGGTCGTGGGGTGAAAACAAAATGTTAGACTTGGAAAATCAGACAAAATTAAATTATGTTATATTTTTTAACATTTAGAGTCATTAAAAAATAAAAAATTAAAAAACTAAAATTTTTCGATCCTTTTTACAGTGAATAGACTGGCATACAGAAATACTTATTTTTTAAATTGGGAACCGAAGGAAACTATCGATAGTTGAAACCGATTGTTCCAGCGTGACCGCCTGAAGTATATTTTGGTATATTTGAATAAATACAAATGGTATTAAAAAGTATATTTCTTGGAGGCTGATCAGTGGGCTTATTTCATTTCACCTTTTAATTCAAACAAAATGTCTAAAGACGAGAAGGACAAGACGCAAATCATCGACAAGGACCTGGACCTGTCCAACGCAGGACGTGGCGTGTGGCTGGTGAAGGTGCCCAAGTACATTGCCCAGAAGTGGGAGAAAGCTCCCACGAACATGGACGTTGGCAAACTGCGGATCAACAAGACTCCCGGCCAGAAGGCCCAGGTGTCGCTTTCCCTCACACCCGCGGTACTGGCCCTGGATCCCGACGAGAAGATACCCACAGAGCACGTCCTAGACGTGTCACAGGTCACCAAGCAGACGCTTGGCGTATTCTCGCACATGGCTCCTTCCGATGGAAAGGAGAACTCGACGACTCCGGCAGCGCAGCCAGACAACGAGAAGCTGTACATGGAGGGCAGGATTGTCCAGAAGTTGGAGTGCCGGCCCATCGCCGACACTTGCTACATGAAGCTCAAGCTGGAGTCCATCCGGAAGGCATCGGAGCCACAGCGCCGGGTGCAGCCCATCGACAAGATTGTCCAGAACTTCAAGCCCGTCAAGGATCACGCACACAATGTGAGTCCAACCATGAATCCTTTGCTGGTTCTATTTATTTACATTTATATCCCTGCAGATCGAATACCGGGAGCGCAAGAAGGCTGAGGGCAAGAAAGCGCGCGACGACAAGAACGCCGTGATGGACATGCTCTTCCACGCGTTCGAGAAGCATCAGTACTATAACATCAAAGATCTGGTCAAGATCACCAACCAGCCCATTAGCTATCTGAAGGAGATTCTCAAGGATGTCTGCGATTATAACATGAAGAATCCGCACAAGAACATGTGGGAGCTCAAGAAGGAGTATCGGCACTACAAGACTGAGGAGAAAAAGGAGGAGGAGCACAAATCGGGCAGCAGCGATTCGGAATAGCATTAGCACTAGCAGATTCTTCGACTTACTTTCATTAAAACATATTTAAGTGATTGCATGATTTTGTTTTATTCCTTAAGAACTACTCATACATCTATGAAAAAAACATTATTTCTTACTGTTTGTAAATATACATTTGCTTGCCCTCTGGTAAATACATACATATATACACTATAATCTAGGCGACATCTTGCACATCTATTATCTAACTTTATCCTTATGTCCGAAGAAACTAATAATATACTTTTGTACAGTAAGAGATCAGGTACTTGATAGTAGTACTATCAGCTCATGAAGATTTCCAAAACAATTACTGCGTCAATCAAAAGGCCATTTTTCAAAATGTAATTAAAAGGTGAATGAAAATTAAATTTGTAAGAAATCATTAAAGAAATAAAACTATTAATAAAAAATCAAAGATGAAAAGGAAATAAAAAAGATCAAAAGAAATATAAATGAATAAAAATGTTTGAATTTCAAAAGAAAAAAGTAATAAAGCGTAAAATAATGGAAACTAAAAAGCGGCATTCATGCTTGAGGAAATCGAGCTTAGATAATACTGGCTCACTATTCTAAGAAAATATTGCGTCAAGTTAAGCTTAAAGCAAACTAAACTTTCTATTGCAAGTCTGTATAGGAAGCTAATACTAAGGTTTGTACAAATATTCCCTACTCTAAACACATATTGCGCCATACATAATCTTAAATCAAAGGATACTATTGCAAGCCTGTTGAAATGAGGCAGCCTAAACTTACATTTGAACATAATGGATAATAAATCTATATCTGGCAAGATCTTAATTTAGCGCAGCCTCTTGATCTTGTTGTACTGCTGCGTAAAGTGCATTGTTCGCTGGGCCTGAAAATAATATAATATAAAGATTTACATACATAATTCGAATAGGGGAACACACAAACTGGATACTACAACTGGACGCGACGAATCTACACAGGGGCGTGAATATAACTAATCAACACATTTAGGACGGGACACAATACTAATTTAAGCGGGGTGCCGATGCCAATGAAGAGCCCATCGAAGATATCCCCGAGTCGGCATCGGAGGGAGTCGGCCTCATCTTTGGGATGGGCTGAATCAAACGCACAGTTTTTGCAAACACCTCGGGAGAAGCCATGTCCGTGGACTTTCGTTTGCTCGGCCCGGCCTTCATATTGATATCCGCAGCCTTTTGCGCCGATTTACTCTTGGCTGCACTCATGTTGCCGACGTCATCCTCGGGATGGATTTCCATTCGCTGCGTACTCTTCAGTTTCATATGGAACTGAGACATTTCGATGGGCTTACTTTTATCGCGATTTCCGAAATGCAAGGACACGTTCCCGTGGTTCGTCTAGAAAATAGGTGTTATTATTATTGCAGATGGTTTGTTTTCAAAAAAACTAATTTACTAACCAGTACTAATGAGGCCAGCATGTAGCGACACATGATACTAGGATCTTTGTCAACCATAACGTCAGCTAACGTGGCTGTTCCATCGCCCGCCTTGCAAACCTCCAAGATCTCAGTGCCCAGGTCCTTGATGTTAAAATTCTGGCGTTCATGAGCTGCCTCTAGAGCGGGAGCCAGTCTTCTATGCCAGTCTCGAATCTACAATGATTGCGTTAGCATGTTCTTCTATCGTTGTATACTCTGCATATTTACCATAGAGCTGGAATCGGGGATATCGGAGATGTCATTTTCCAGCGGCGATTCGGATCTTATTGAATCACCGCAGTCCTCGACGCCTGCATCCTGTATACTATCCTCTGGAGCTGGTGTATTAGCAGGCAAATCCTTCGCTGGTGCTTTGTCATTTAAGGTTGCTTCGTCTAGCAATGTGGAGATCTCCAATGCTGAATTGTCAAGTTGAGTGGTATCTAAAATTCCGCTGTCCAATGCGTTTGGCTTAGCGGTGTCGTCCAATTCAGAACTTATGTTCGCTCCCAATCCGCTCTCCATTCCTGAGTTAACTGTAGCCTCCAATCCGCTTTCCGTTCCAGAGATTTCCTTCACTTCAAGTTTCGAGTCATCCGCACCCTGGGTCACTGTTTTGGGTTCAGTAGTCTCATTTAGCTCAGACGCTATTGACTCCCCCAACCCACTTTCCATTCCTCTGTTTACAGACTCTTCTAGGGCTTCGGCAACAGTTTCGTTAATTGTCTTACTCGCATGGTTTTCAGTTGGGTCTTCAACCTCAACTTTAACTTCTCCGATGGTAGAAACAGCGCCTGACCCAAGTCGCATGTCCTCAATATCAAAACCGGAGTCGAATGTAGGTCGACGTTGACGAAAGCCCAGGAAATCTATAAAATAAATGCATGACAAAGTGAAATAGTGCTGCAAAGCAAGTTACTTACTAAACTCCTCGTCAAACTCTAAGGGAGAATCGGGACTCCTTTCCGTTGTTTGGGGCGCTTCTTTATCTGTCCGCAAAGTCTGAGCTCTGGCCGCGGTTGGAGGCTTTGGTTGTGCTTCTCGCCTGGCAGGAAGACGCTGAAAATATTTCATGTTGTTTTTAGGTTTGCTCAGATATAAAATAAAACATATTTGACATTCGACACTCACCGCTTGCTTGAACAAGTCAAACGCTGTTGGAAGTTTAAAGAAACATTTACGACGCAGGCCCTTATGTGGAAGTCTCAAAAAATTCAGCAGAATGGGGTAGCAGACCTCCCTGGGAACATTCACTGCCACATCGTCATTCATCTCAATAATTTGAACAGTCTTCGCTTCCACGTCTTCCGAACTGATTATTAGGTCCGTCAGCAGGCGGTGATCTTCTACATCTGAAAGAACAACACCTTCATCGTCAAAAGACTGGCCTGCCGTGACAAATGCAATGAACGAATGCAAGTGCGGGATCAAGTGCCAAAATAAAAAAACAAAGAGAAACGATAACGTGAGTATTTTTAAAACTAAAAAAGGAAGGATTAAAAAAACACTTATCCTTAGTACGCTTGGCAGGCGTTGGTTTGCCATTGGTTTACCTGTATGCACGTGGGAGGAATCGGAAACCTCTTCCATACCGATCCCGGAATCGATTTGCAACAGCTCCTCGAGAGATTCGTCTTTAGGGGGTGGCAAGTCAAGTTTCGTGCTGTCCAAGACACTGGACTCGTTGATGGCCAACGTGCTGCTCAGCGGGGGATTTTCCAATTGACTAACACTCAAGGAGTTATCAACCTGGCTGGCGCTAAGGGACGAGTCCTGCACTTGACTTTCGCCTAAAGCGGAGTCAACTTGACTTTCGCTTAAGGCGGAGACAACTTGACTTTCGCTTAGAGCGGAGTCCACCTGGCTGACGTCCATCGTGGTATTGATCGTGCTGTCCTCCTGACTTGTGTTGATGGATTCTCCCAGTCCCAAATCTACTGACATCTGATTTTGCAATCCACCGCCGGTGGCCAGTGTTAGATCGTTTTCCCCCGTCATCGGTTGATCGACGTCCATGGCTTCTGCAAAAGCGGTTTTATCCGAATCCATGAGCTGATTCTCCTCCAGTCGCACTTTTTTTGCCAGCTCCGTTTCCGTTGTGCCATCCAGTGATCTTTTCCCCGATTCGTCCATTCTTCTTCTCGTCCTGACAGTGGCTCCATAGCGTGCGGCCAGCATTTGATTTTCCAGTGCAATGTACTCGTCCAGGTAATCCTTCGTAGTCATGTGTTCGTTCAGTATCTCCGCAGTGTTCACCTGGTTCGAATGCACATATTCCTTGATCAGATTCAACCGCTCGAAGGGAATGTCGGGCAGCAGCGTGTTGTATCGATGCTCCACATGATACGTAAACATTTTGTACTGCTTCTTCTCGTCCTGGTCGTAGGGATTATGGGGATCCACAATGGGCGCGTGTCTCCACAGATTGGGCGGCGTGTGATCCTGATAAAGGTACTCTATCGTCCGATTCCTCGTGCACTTCACAAAGCCCGTCTGGTTGAATCGTTTCTCGTCTGACATCGTCTTGAATCTTCGCGGTTCCACGGTGAGCAGATAGGGATCTACTTCCTTCTTGGTCAGCTTTTTGGCGCGACGTTTGCGCGGCTCCTCCGGCTTAGGGGCATTGTTGTCCGACCTGTAAAAGTAAAAGGTATAAAAATGAGTATATCGCTAAAGACAGATTAACATGAATTGACCCTCCTTAGTCTAAATATCGTCTTAAATTATGTTTATTATTATCTTTGTTAACTTTTGTTTTAATCATCTTAATCGAATCGTTTAAGCAGTCAGAAATGATAAGATTTCGATTATTTAGGTCAAGTGAGCTTTTTATATTTTGGGTTGTGCTGATAATTGAAAAAAATGTCTTTAAAAGCTTTGTATGTCTACTTTAATATTATAATCAGTATGATCAAAAATTGTTTAATGGTGTTGGTGGCTGATGTTTAATTTTATGAATGATATAATGCCCATGTTCACCTCTCTTTTTGTCTGGCTCATTACTCATATATTTCTGAACTCTCTTTTTGTTTTAGAGATTCCAAAAACGTGTTTTGCCATTCATTAACATTTGATTAAACGGGAAGCGAAGCCGGCTTCACTGAACTGATATTAACGTAAACAAAGCCGAAGATGTGGGCGGAACGGAAAGCTCGATAAGCGGTATTTGGTATTCTGGAGTGATAAGAAGCAACGCCTGGACAGACATAATGGCGTCAATCGCGGAGCACATGGCCTTATCTTCCCTTTTCTTCTTTTCTCCTCTTCTGACTCCAACTCACCCACTGCTGCCGCTGGGCGTCTCCTTCTGAGGCTCTGAGGTGAGCAGGGCTTCGATCTGGTGCTCCACCACCTGGTACATGTACTCCACGCGGTCTCCATAGATCTTGCCGCAGTATTGAAGGGCACTTCCCGCCGCCACGATGGCCGATCGCCGGGAAACATGGTTGCTTCCCAAACAGTGGCGCAGTAGCTCCTCAATGTACTGTAAAATATAAGTGATTGATTAGATGGTATATGATCAGGTAATTTTATAGGAAATATACTTTTTTAAAGAATTTTATGAGGCGTTTTAGTTTTTTTTTTTGTGTTTTCATATTAGCTGATAATGAATATAAATATTT